TGCAGTTCAATGGCATCTTTAATTAAAGATTTTTGACATTTAAAGTCCATTTAAAACCCGGTTATATTGTTCTTCTATTTAACAATGAATGACTTTTACAAAAACTTTATTTGTATTTTTATATTAAATTCAATCGTTTGTTGGGTTTGTTTCTGGGATTGTTGTGGCCTAAAATGTCCGACTTCACTGCAGCTTTTCTAAAAAGTTGTGATGCTTTTAGTTTTTTTTTGAATATTTTTCTGTATATTTATTGGGAATCAAGGAGGATACGATGCAACTGAATGGGAATAACCAGTAAGTAAGCTGAGCAGGTGTAAAGTCTGTGTGCTGCTCCTTTAATGTTCTTTACGTACAGGTCTGCAGTCTGAGTGAACCAGCGCTGAAAAGGTCACAGGTTTGACTCCCACCTCCTCAGTTTCCAGCCCGCTGTGTCAGCTGAACGCAGAGAAATGAAAAGTGAATTTGTAGCCCGTCAGTTTCACTCTGCAGCAGCGAGACGCCGCAGACTCTCGGCTGCTGATCGGAGGTCAGATTTCCTCGTTTCCTGTACGACGTGATTAACTTTCATGGGCAAAATGAGACGATGGTTCAAACCACTGAAAGCTTCTCTGTTCTCTGCAGCTTTCATTTTAAAGAAGACTCAAATAACAAAGATCCTGACAGTGACTCCCATTTTAATTTGTAAGGAAACATAAAGTCATATCCTGCTGATCAAAGCAAGAACAGTGAGAGACTCTTCAGGGACCTTGTGGACGTTTGTGGTAGAAGAAATACTCAAATCCTAAAAGTAAAAGTATTCATTTCACAATTTAAAAATACTTAATGCATTTAAAAGTAAAAGTATTATCAGCTAAATTAGCTAAAAGTCTCAAAAACAATATTACTCTTTTTGCCCATCTTTGGCTCATGGCTGCACAAGCTAATGGAAGCTAACATTACAGTTAGCTTATTTAAGTCCATCAGGAAACTCTATAAATTACCTCGGTACCGCTGTCGTCAAACCGTCCTCGGAGGTTGTGTTCACTGGGAGGCTGCTGAGCCCCGTTCAGTTGCTAACACTAACAGCAGCTACATTAGCAGCCGTAGGACGTCAGAGGGAAAACCAGACAATGTTCTCTCCATAAAATATGATCCAGTTTCAAATCTCTGATAAAGTTGTGTTTGTAAAGTAATCAGTGAGCTCCGCTGGCTAGCCATGCTGTTAGCTAGTTAGAAACTAATGAAAAACGAAGTTGAAGATTGATTGACGGGTGAATGTCAGGATATTATTGGTTGAAATGTTGTTTTAGAGGAAGACAAACTGATTGGTTTTGTTATATAAAAAGACAAAGAAAATCTTTTTTTGGTAATTTATTGGCCTACATTGTTAAATATGGGAACAATATGACCATTTTTAATTTCATCTGGACTACGATGGAGCTGGATTGTAGTCGTGCACACATCAATCAGTCAGTGAGACAGAGGAAGCTCCTCTACATTAAATGGTTATCAGACTCTTAGACACAGACTTTAAACAGTTATAATACCCAGTTTGAATTACGCAACGGGAACAATGTTGCACAAGTAAAAGCGATCACGAGGCTTGTTTACGTGTCACATAATTCAGGAGCTGCAGAACAAAGAGGGCGTGATGGAGGCTCTGTGAACTGGGACGCCGGCTCCCCGATCGTCCCCGTGGACCTTCACGCCGACGGGGGAACGCTGAGAGAGGGAAGCGGGTTAATTAGCCTCGATCAGATCAGCAACAGGAGGGCGGTACCTTCACACTGAACTCACAGACAGACGGACGGATCCCGGTGAGGCCGAGGTCCCAGCAGGAGGCCCAGTGGGGGGTTTAAGGATATTGTCAGGGTGCTGTGACCTTTGACCTCCCCAGCCTTCTTATTATCAGCTCTAATGGCAGCAATCTGGGAGTGATTAACGTTCTGAAAACAGAAGTTCCTGCACTTCAGGGCTCGTGAAAGTCAAAATAAATCATGTTGTGCACGTTTACTGTTGTTTTAATGTTCAGACTTTGTTTCCCTTTTAAGAGATTTTCTGTTTTATTTTTATATATAAAACCTCACAATTAACTCATGAAATATGATGTTGTTAGTGGTGCAGTAGGTTTTCAGATCCCTTACTCAGGTAAAAGTACCACACTGTAAAAATAGTTAGTTAGTTAGTTAGTATGTATTCGAGTATTAAAAGTACAAGAAAAATGTCCCCCGTTGATCAGAATCATATGTATGATAATATAATGTTATAATATATGTAATATATGACATAATTAGATTATTATGACTGACTACATTAATGTAGAAACAGGAATTTACTGTGGAAGTTGGTTGGCGTCATTTTAAACTACTTTTTCATAATGCTTCTATCCAACCCACAGTTTTGATGATTTCACACGAGCTTTAGACTGCGGGCAGAGGTCAGTTGGTCAACATCCTGTCTTCAGTACACAGACTTTAAAAAAATGGTGTTATTCTATATATAACGCGAAATTAGACCAAAAGGCTGTAAACATGGGTCTTATGGAGACTGACTCACTGCTGGAGCCAGCCTCTAGTGGCCGTTAGAGGAACTGCGGCTTTTGTTACTTAAGTGTTGGATTTTAGTGAAATATTTGAAAAAAACATAAGAAAAACACAGTTATTCTTATGTTCAGGTGATTATACACCAATAAAAACATCCCTGTTACACACTGGACCTTTAAATAGTAAAGTAACTAAAGCTGTAAAGTTTTGTAAATAGCCCGTAAAGTACGGTTTTTATCGTCTTTTCAGTGCAGACATTGTTTCCTGTGGGTAAGGAGAGAGACTGAGGGCTTCTGGGTAAAAGCAGAGACCAGTTGGTGAAGACAGCAGAGGCTTCTGGGAAACTGAAGGCCCAAGTATGCTTGCCGCTTGAGACTTGTCGCGCGACACTGTGACGTCAAAATGACGTAGATCTCGCTGGCGCTAAGATTTGTGAATTTAAATGTTCGTATTCACTAGACGATTTCTTAGCCCACTAAACATGGTATTTTTACGGAAAACGGAGTCCACTCCTCTCAGGCCTACGGAGTGGTCTAGGCCCACTGAAGAACACAGGGGAGCTCGGGCTTATAAGAAGAAAAACACAAAAGATGGAGATAAAGAGAATTTCCAAACGAGTGATGAAAATGTGTGTGTTGAATGAATGCCGGTGTTTGCTGAGGGTGAAGGAAGTCGTCTTGTAGATACTGGACCTGTGCGACGTGAGCGTGACGGATAAAATTTATCTTGCATAGGTGCTAGCGAAGGCATAAGTTAGTATTTTCTGAACGAGGTGGCGCATGGGAGGCTCAGGGCTTTGGTAATTTCTACGCACAGAGAGAGAAAAAAAAGGTAAAACAAAATATGGGCGGGTCCTTTTTTTGATTTTCGCCAAATGACGAGTCGGGGGAGTTGCTTCCAAAAATTTGTCCGCGGGGGCCATATGGCGCTCCCCTCCCATTATTCAGCAACGATTATGGCGATTGTCTTGCGCATGAGTGTTGCGAATGTCTCCTGTCGGTTCCTTCCATAGTGGACATGATCGTACAGATGCCCTGTAGAGCGCAGCCTTGCTCGGAAAGGGCTTCCAGGTTTCCCGGGGTTTGAGCGCGCTCCCCAGATCTAGTCATTTTGACTGTCAGCAGTGTCGCGCGACAAGTCTCAGGCGGCGCAAGCATCACTTGCGGCCCTTCAGGTATTCCGCAGAAGCCTCTGCTGTCTTCACCAACGTGGTGCTCTAGTGCTTTTACAGCAAGAGCCCTCCAGTCGGCCTCTCTCCTTACCCCAGGAAACAATGTCTGGGCCACTGAAAGGACGTAAACAACCGTATTTGAACGGGCTATTTATCAAAACTTATTCAGCTTTAGCTTATTTATACTATTTAAAGGTCCAGTGTGTTACAGGGATGTTTTTATTGGTGTATAATCAGCGCTGACACATTAAGTACATAACGTGTTTTTTCTTATGTTTTGTTTCAAAAATATTGTCACTAAATGCCAACCACTTAAGTAAGCAACAGCGAGTTCTCTACGGGCCACTAGAGGCTAGGTCCAGCAGTTGAGTCAGTCTCCATTAAGCGCGCTATGTTA